CCCTACCCCTTTCCTGAGGCTCTCCAATCAGCCAAGTCCTTTGGGGGGGTTCCCTACTGTATATTCCTTCATCAACATGGCATTTCTCAAGAGGCGCACACAGAATCTGTTAAAATTAGCTGTGTTCCACATTAGTGACAGGAGCTGCCTTGCTCTCTGAGGAGTACACCATGGTATGGTGCTGCTTCCTGTTTGAACAAAATCAAGTCTTTAATTGCAGAGAATTTTTTTCATTACCTGCTAATTGATAAATCATGCTTGCAGTGCTGTGAAACAAACTTCATTGTGTGCAGTCTCCCAGACCTGTGCTCCTCCTTTCGCGGTTCCTAAATAATTAAATAAAATGCCAGGGCTAGAGTCTTCATTCTAGTAGGGCATCTTTGCACCATACTACCATTGTGAGCAGGGTTTAATACTGGTAAACACTGTCCCAGGGGGAAGTCTAGGTTGACCCTCTACTGTTGTAGATCCAGTGTAGGGCTCTTACACCATTCCTTTTCCATGCTGCTAACATAACAAAGAAAAGGAGTTTTTTGGAACTCCCCTACATCAGGCTGATTCTGAACTGTATTTTCATACCCTTGAGGTGGTTTGCAGCCCACATATAAGTTAGAGCAGACCTCAGGCTACTGTAAATTGGTGCAGGGGAACTAGAGGCTGCAGCAGGGTTGAAGGAAAGCAAAGGTGAGCTTTAAGCCACCTTCATGGACCTGCACACACACACACACACACACACACACACACACACGACTTGTGTTGTGCATACTGCAGCCACAGCTACAGATCTGGTTTTTGATCTAAAATCAACAACAAAAGAATAGCTGAGCATTAAAGTCACAGCCTTCTGGAGGCACATAAAACATGCACATATATATTTTTTTTAAATCTTTTTGTCATGTCTGTCCTTTTATTCCTGTTTCTACTACAAGTAGCAAGAGGCCACTGTCTTGGGAGGAACAGTAAAAATCCTGAGTATAGTGAAATAATTTAGCTGATAATTCCCCACTGCATAATTTTCTATGCTTCCTGCTAGCTGACCTTGTGGGCTCCTGTCAGGTTGCTAAGGGAAATCCAGCAGGACTCCCACTCTGCTTCTCTACTTTTAAGAAAGTATTACAGGAAATAGAAGCATGTTTATGTCAGCTTAGTTATGTCCGTATTTGATCAAATGGCATTCTGAAACCAGCTTTCTTTTCCCTTGTTTTTAAATGCAGATGATAGATATGTGATGAAAAACTGCTCTGAGCCAAGCAGTTGGAATCTTGTCTTTGGTATCCTTTGCCAAAAAAGTAGGGATTGATGCAGGGCAAGAGAAGAGGAAACTATGGTAAACCTGGGGTGACTGAGGAAAATGGTAGGAAGCTGTTTGAGATAGAAACTACATTTATCCTTGCATCTTATACAAAGGACATACATTACTCTCACCAAATAATAATCATGAGATCCGGGCATGTGTTAGGTCATCATTTTAGACCCATGCCATGTGGGTAAGAGCCAGAAGTTGTTAATCTGCAATAGCTGTTCACTGACCCGAATAAAATGAGCTGGTTTTCTCAGCCCAATTTTTAGTGGACAGGTGTCCACCACAAAAGCACAACCATACTTGTTGGCACCTTTGTTGACTGTCTCAGCAGAGTAGCCAAAGACTTAAATGGGCAAAGAGACAACAATACCTTCTGACCGCTACAGGTGGTCCCTCTAGGTCAAGATTGAGACTTCTTGAATGAGCAGGGTGGGCAGGAGGCTTGCATGCTTGCTCCCTGTTTCTGTCCCTGTCGTGCGGATAAATTGGAAATTTCAGTCTCTGCAGCTATCAATCTGGTACACGGGGCAATCGCCAAAAAATTTACACAAAAATAAAAAGAATAAAAATAGGTGAAATAAAACAGACCCTCTTTCTAGCTTCCAAATCAGACTTGGTGTAGGGCCAGGGAAACCAGTCACATCTAGGAGCCCAAATTGTTCCTATGATCTCCAATCATAATACAGGATTTTGAAGGTTGTTGGTAGTGTGGTTTGATGTGAGAGGTAACGCAGGCAAATATGGCCATTGTCTTCACCATGACTTTCCCAACCTAAGGAAAGTTTCACTGAGTAACATGTACAGGAAATAATAAATAATTTGTGTCCAAGTTGTTCTTAAGTAATTAGGGGCATTAATCAGGCTGAAACGATGGCATTGTGTGCTGTGCAGCCCTCCTTACCTCTGACCTGGTGACTGTGGCATTGAGTCATTGGCAAGCTCATCCAGAATAGATTGTTACCTTAAGTTTTTGTCTGCTCTAGAAAAAGAGGAGGTAAAATGGCAATTTATAAACTCTATGGGAGTTACATTTTGTAGTGTATTCCAATATGGGATAAGTCGGCTTCCTGTTTGCTGCTACTGTTTATAGGCTTACAGCTTTAGAACAGGAATTGCATCAGCTGGCTTGCTCTGTGTCTCAGCTGTCACAAAGAGAATGTAGTAAAATTCATGATTAAATGTCATTACTCTGTGGCACAGAAGTGAGAATGCGACATTGTTTTGGATCAGTTCCTCTTAAAATTCAGCAATAGTAGCAAATTATGTCTGCTATGGATTAAATACAGCCATTTTTTGATCTACATTCTGTTGCATGCCCCAGAATTTCTATCAATAAGTTTACGCTTTATAGGCATTGATTCCCCTAGGCCTTCAACAGGAGAGTAAAAAAAAAAAGGCCCTCAGTGATCGAACTTCAAGAACTATTGTTCTACAGACTTCCAGAGCTTCATGTTAGTGAAGGTGGCAAATTTTTTATCCAAGTGGCTTGGACAGTAAATTCGCAGAGTTTATTTTTGGAGCATTTGTTGTTTTTAATGATCATTTTCTCCCCAAAATCCCTCTAATTTGGCATATAAGTTACATGTCAGTCCATCCACAGCTCCTATCTCTGTACATCTAAATAGACACATGCACAAAAAAAAATTGTTTATATAAATAATAATTTTTCTCCTTTAAGATGCCCTTTTGTTCCACAAAACCTGGACTCAGAAGGACAAAGAAATCAAATATATTTTTTTGGATATTTGTTTCTAAGAAAAATCTTTCATTCCTTTCTCCTTTTGTTTGCCAGCACTTGTGTTCTTTGTTATGTCATAAATAAAGGAAAATATTGTAGCTGCCAGGAAGTATTACGAAAAGCACTTTCATTCGTGTCAGTTTTCATTACTTTTAGCAGGTTGTGTGAGGACATTCAGCTTGGTGAATAGGAATGTGCATAGTATGTGCATATGGTTTATATTTGTACCCAAATTATAAGAGTGCTGATATTAGCAAAGGACTTTTATTTTCCTTGGAGTCTGGTATCATACTACACATGACGACAGCAGGATTGCTGCATCTGTACAGATGTTATGTCTGCCTGGTCCTGAGTTCAGCATATGAGAGGCCTGTATTTTAAAAAATGGCATGTAATGTTTGGTCCTCAACTAGAGAAACCAGAGGTCTGATTTTCAGTAGTTCTATGCACTTACAGCCCACAATAACAGCACCTCGAAGTTCAAACTCAGGTTGAATACCCAAAAATTACACACTGCAAATTAGCAATAACTTCTGGATATCTTGCTAAGTTCATACTGTCCAATATTGTAGTGATGGAGTTTTCCAAAATATTTAAATGGAGAACAAAGTCTTACATAAGTTTCTAATCCATAGCCATCCTGTCCAATACATTAATATATTTTTTTAATCCAAAGCATTATGTGTATATTATCCATTGACAGGCAGGTGACTGGTTCAGATGGGCACAGACAGTGTAATTTATGCATCCATTTGCCACGAGCATGTTTCCAGATCATGGCATTGTCTCCTCTTCTTGCTAGATAAGTTGAAACATTGACAGGCAGTGTGTTCACTTTTTTCTTTTATTACAGTAATTTATAAGATATTTTAGCTAACAGGAGAACAGCCCAAGGGGGCATTCTCATGTTAATTACCAAATGTGGGCTTGTCAAAATCAAATAGCTTCAGGAATAATGTAAGTAGTACTGCATAATTATATTGTTTGGCCCTTGACCCAATATTAGCCTTTTTTTTTTTAAATCTTGTTTTAGACTGAGCTTTTAAATAAAAAAAAAATGCAAAAATCTGTCCCAGCATAGACCTGAAAAGGACTCTGAGGCACAGTGTAAGAATTTAAGATTTTTAGGATTGTTTAATTTCAGCTGAAAACCAGAAATGTTAAGGGTTAAAGTAGTTACCTTTCACATTTCTTGTGAAGATGAAAGCATTTGCAACAATTGTAAAATTCTATTTAATTTGATTGTCACTTCTGGTGCATGGTCTCATTTTATTGTGGTGGTCACCAACAGCCAAAGCCAGGTAATTTTCCTACTCATACTTAATCATACTGGGCAAGACCTATTCCACAAGTAGACCTTCCTGTTGATTTACTCAGCATAAAGTACTGCACAATGGGCACATCTACATGAGACTTTTACTGCAGTTGCCTTATTAGCTCCACAGTAAGTGTCTCACCATCTACACAGACAGGGCTATTAGGACAGAGTAAACTAATTAACTCTGCTGTAGGTTAGTACTTGTAAACACAAGTGCTATCCTACAATGGATAGGGAGACTGCAGCTGTTATGAGTTCTCCATAAAGCTTCTTTTCTACCTTGGAGAACTCATAACAGCTGCAGAGTCTCCGTATGCCTGACAAAGGGTGTTTGTGCCCAAAAGCTTGCAAAGAACTTTTTTCCAACTATTTTAGTTGGTCTCATAAAAGATATCACATCTACCCAAAGAACCTTGCCTGCCTATGTCCTTAGACCAACACAGCTAGAACCAGCAAGCATCCATCCTACAGTGGAGTATTTTTACTCCGTAGCAGTGCATTTGTAGACACTGAAAGGGCTGGCTGGAGCACGAGGGTGCTTCAGTGCAGGGGCTGCCTGCTGGCTAGCCCTGCACCGTAGCATCCTCGTGCCCGAGCCAGCCCCTCCACAGCACATTGAATCAGGTTAGATTAGTCCCGGACTGGCAGGCTGACCTCCTGGGGGCTGTACCAGTTGGGGCTGCTCTGCCCCAGCTAAATGTGCTGCAGTCCCACTTGCGGGGTTGGTCTGTGGGCTGGATCCCACTCATATGCGAGCTTGGCCCTGTGAGACAGTCCAACCATGCACGTCAAATCAGCCACCAGGTGACTCTGTGCTGACACCAGCCATATGCCAGCATGGTTTAGTAAGCAGGGCCCACCCATCTAGCCCACAAGCTCCCCCAGAAATGAATACATCCACTATTCCTCTGCTGCCAAATTTATGGACCTGTGGTGAGACCCATGATTGGAAGACATGGCCTTGCAGGTCAGATATGGCCCATGGGCTGGAGGTTGAGTACCACTGACCTAAAACATTCTGTCAATAGTATTCTCCCAATTATATTAGAAGGGGATTGCTAGTTTAAGCATTTCTGATGGCAGCTGCCACAGAACCATTTGAGGAAATATTCTCAGATCAAACTAGTTAGGATTTAATAGCACTAGCTGCAGTTCAGGGTTTTCAGGTGGAACCTATTGAAGAACACTATAATTTAATGTCTCATGAATGATCACAGCAATTTCTACATGCTAAAGGGAATGTCTCACAAGCTTCTTCCTAAGTGCATATGATGGGAAGGGCTCTTAGTAGCTACTTTCATCTGAACACTCAAAAATAACTAGTAACCCAGACAACCTCCCCTTTAGCCTAGGGAGAAATAATTAACATGCCCTATCAATCCTTGAGCTAGCATACCTTCTGCTGTTTCCTCTGGTATCATGCTTTGCCTGGTTTGAATCCTAGCTAGGCATCTCCTCAGATCAGGTCCCACGGCCCATAAAGTCCCAATGAAAAGATCAGGGCACTTCATCCCCTGAAGATAGCAAGCCTGGGTCCAGCTGGTCCTGGTTGGGCAATTAGGGCAGCCAATCCCCTGAGGTTGCAAGCAACAAGCCCCACCCCCGCCTTTAAAACTGGCCCCAGCCAACAGTCTTTTACTCTGTTCTAGTAAAAGACTGGTGCTTGTTTCTGACCCTTCTATAGTTCCTTGACTCGCTCATTAGAAACTCTGGCTTTGACTCCTGATGCACACTGACTTCAGCTTTAACTTCTGGCTCTCCCTGACTTCAATTCACATGTCCAGCTTACCTGGAACTGTGGTCTCAACTCCTGGCTTGTTGTGACTCCTGGCTCCCCATGAACCCTCTTGCTGGACTTTACAATTATCAGGTGACCTTCCTCAGTCACCCACACCCTGGTCCCTAATGCTCCTTATTGATGCAACAGTGTCCATTTGAGACTTGGATAAGATCTTGGGTAAGAATCTGCTCTACCAGGATGGAAAGGAATAACACTCCATCAGGATATAAAGGGAAGCCATCCAGTCCCAAACTAGGCATTATAAATGAAGATGCCATCAGTCTCTCTAACTTGTCATTTCTAGTGGCTCCATATGCATGGAAACAATAATGGTGACCAGACAGAATCCTGCAGAACTCTGTATAACAAGGATTGGCAACATTTTACTAATGCGGGCCATAGCTTGCCACATGCCAGCACCATGAGCCACTGTTCCCATGCTGCTACCCCAGTCATCGCTGGTCTGTGTGGTGAGCTGCTCTCACTCTGAAAATGCAGCCTCCACTGAAAAATGTGTAATTTTTTGAGTAATCCCTCAGTGACAGTAAGCAGAATTTTGGAAGGGGGGAGGGAGGAGCAGCCCATAAAAAATAGGGATGGAGCAGGGGATCAACCGGCTGTTAGAAAAATGTCTTCTGGAACACAGAAGACAGACTGGAACAAATGGCTGAGGATCTGCAAACAGTAATGTGTGGACCAGATGAGAGCTTTGTGAGCTGGATCCAATCTCTTCTCAATCTGGCCAGTGGTCCATGGGTTGCTGCTATATATGATCTTTGCTATATACAATATCATTTGGAGGAAATGAGCAACCATCTTATGCAATCCTTTGAGATGCTTTAGAAAGAATTGAGAATCTGGTTGACTCTACAGTGATTTGCAAGCAAATCTTCAACACCTGTGGTCAGGATTATCACAGGCAGCTCTCAAAGCTACAAGCATCAGTGTGGACACCTGATCCTCAGTCACTGACAAGAGATCAATATCCTACAGCACCAGGCCAGCTTCTATACTACACCCTGGCTGAAAATAAAATTGACCCTAACATCTTGCTGCTAGCTTCAATCATCCGGGAGAGGTTCAGATTTTTCTCTGAGATGATATCGCTATTGGAAAGTAAGCAAACATCGCAGGCTGAAACTTAAGTAGAAAAGACTCACTGTTCTCAATGACTTAAGTTTTCATAATTATTCTTATGACTTGGGTGTGAAGCTTAGTCACCAGTCACTCCAAGTTCACTCCCTAGAAGCAAATATGCCACCACTGAGGCACAGATCTCAGATGGGATTTGACTGATCCTCTGTAATGCCCCACAGTAAGAAACACTTGACTCTTTCACCTGAAGCAAACAACCTGGATTAACCAGGTTGTTAACCACCTCTTTTCTTTGATTCCTGCAGTCACCGCAGAAGATTTCAAAAGTTCTTTTCCTCTTAATCAATACAGTTCAGAACCAGGACTTAACCCATGTATGCTTTGGCCATCTCCTTCCTGTTTCAGCAGTTGGAAGTCACAGTGACCTGTCAGATGAACAAGACAGATGAAGGAGGCAAGAAAGCACTTTGAAGTGTTCAGTAACCAAAGATAGTAGACTATTACTAAGTCCTACCTAACTTGCAATAGAGTACCCTAATAGCTGCACAATATTCCTACTGAGAAATTCCTCTGAAATCTAAGCAATCCCACTTGCCTCTGAGGGCAGACCTAAATAAATACAGTGTCCCAGCAGAAAATGTGTGCTCCTGGCCTCAAAACAAAAGAGGTAATTGTCGGTGCATAATAAAGGCACAATTCCTGTGTTATCTCCAATCCTGCCACAAAAGCAGGATCAAAGATAAGACCAGCTAGATGAATTGAACCATAGATCACTAGGGAGATTTTCATACAGCTTCCTTGATGACTAATTAGAGTTCATTGGTGTGGAAATTGGTGTCATTCAGAACTGTTAGTCCAGATGATTTACACTGGGGCATGGTGACCTGCACAAGAACACTAGTCTCTAGTTTGGGACTTGTATATTGTTGACAATCTCTATCAAAGCCATTTTGAAGGCTGAAGACCTTTGGTTCATAAAGCCAAATGTAATAAATACAGATTTATCACATCTTAGTGTCTCTTAGTTTGTACTGAGCAGGGCTGAATTCAAAAGATAGCTTTCATGAAATCCTGCAGACAGCTAACAGAGCCCTGAAAGGACTCCTGTGTAGCAAGTTCTTAGTGGTGGTGATGGTTAGAGCTGGTTGAAACGAGAACTCTGATGAGGAGTTTCACAGTCCTAGCCTAGAGAACGCTGTGCCCTCGCACTGGAGAGATTAAATCTGATCTCTCTGAGGGCCTTGTAACATTTTAGGCAGCTTCTGGAGCTCTTAACCCCTAGATTGTCTTCGCATTAACACCTGAAACTAATTTTTAGCACACTTTAGGCGGCTTAAAGTTACGCCACTCCAGGGCAGGTTTATCTCTGATCCATGTTACCCAGCTTGTGTTCCATTAATGTGTGGCCACTCCCAACAAATGAGCTGCCCAAGTTGCAGTCCTTCAGTGTCTCAGTGTCCTCCTCCCCCATCCTCTTGTTCTGTGTGGACAAACCTTCCACACCCTGAACTCTGCTGCCCAGAGGGAAGTTCTGGCTGCAAGCCAACACCGTCCTCCCACCCTGGGGTTGTGGCCTTTCCACTCCCAGGGGTGCAGCCCCATGCAAACAATCTGCAGAGCACATGCCAGCTAGCCAGGTCACATGGACATGAGCAGGTCCAGGAGTGGGGTCAAAATGGGGTGGGTGGGGAACAAGGTAGGGGACTAGATCAGCTTCCCATGAGCTGGAGCTTCTTTCCTGGAGCAGGGGCAGTAGCAACCACAAAAGAGCCTTCCCTCAGAGCTCCCAGTCACCCTGAGAAGCATGACCAGCACCCTCCAGACTCCAATCCCAAATCCCAATTTATTAAAACATGAGACCTTCTTTAATTTACTTCCTCTTTATTTCTTTTTAAATTTTTTAAAACTTCTTTTTATTATATCCTTCAGAGACTGACTTCATTTCACCATCCTTCCCTCACCCCCATTTCCTTTCCACTTCCCATTTCATTATTCACTCCTATCCCATTAACTTTCCACCTCCCAGCTTCACGTCAATAAGAGGTGGGAGAAAATATTATTTGGGGGTGCTGACCTGCTTGACCCCTGCCCCTTCCTCCTGCAGGGCCGCTGTGGGGCTGACACATGCTAGTGATGTATGCAGCAGTGGAGGAGCAGTTGCATGCAGAGCTATGCCAGGCGCTGTGGAATGGTGGTGCTGCTGCCAGGGGTGATGCGCACGAGGTGCATGTGCACTCCCTGAGTGTGGCGGTGCACCCCCTGCAAAAAGGCAATGTCTGCAGGCAGTCCATGATCGGCCCTGGCCACAGCCGACACTGCCGGCAGTGCCTGAGAGTGGTCACTGACCCTTGGTGGACACTCGCCCCCCTCCCAGTCACTGACAGTGCCAGCGGCATCTGTGGGAGCTCCATGCTTACCGTTGCCAGGCACCCACCACCGTGTTCCCACTGCTGACAGGGCAGCCATGCCCTCCTAGCTACCAGGGGCACACGCCATTCATGACTGCTGCTGTCACTGGCTGCTGCAAAAAGTTTTGTGGGGGCTGAGCCCCGTTAGCCCCAGCGTTCTGCCACCTGTGTTTATGTGTCCCCCCTCCCCACCCCCAACCCATCTCTCCCATACCTCCACCTAGACCAGGGATAGAAGCCTGTCCTGACTCACCAGCCCTGTAGTGGCAACTCACAGCTGTACCTCTTTGTCAGGTCCCTGCTTGCATGCCGTCTAGGGGCAAGTCACATCTGTGCAGGAAAGGGACAGTCAGAGAAGGTTTTTAGCCTGAAGGTGTGACTGCTCCAAACTCAAGCTAGCACCAACACCAATCAACATTTGAGCAGCTCAAAGTGGAACATGTAACGAGGCCCTAAGATTTTGTGTTCTTGAGCTCCATTTTCCCAGAAGATTGTGAATAGCAGGGGTGTACCAATAAAGTTTTTCTTGGCTGATACCAAAGGCCAATTATTAACCAGCCATATCGGCCAATACCAATCCGATAGCCAATTTATAGTAATGCAGCCTGGAAGCTTGGAGAGAAGCCTTCTTCCAATAAGTCTGTGGGAAGCAGGGGGAAGGGGGCACAGGAGAGGGAAGGGAGATGTGGGGGGCAGATCGAGGCTTCCACAGTGAGGAGGGGAGTGGGGCAGCACCTCCGAGGGAGGCATGGGGGGGTATGTGCCCTCCCCCTAGATTTGTGTGCGGGTAGTGATGGGCTATCCACTGTGGCCTTGGGGCCAGGGGCTGCACCAGCCCCTTCCTGGTTGTGGGGGCTGAGCTGGGGCTGTGCTTGGGGTGGGTGGGGGTGGGGCAGCCTCAGCTGTGTGTGGCAGGCAGTGGCAGCACCCAGGGAGGACTTTGGGGGGGCTATGCCCACCCCAAAATTCCCCATAGCCCCAGAGGAATTCTGAAGCCACCCCACACAGCTGAGCTCGCCCTGCCCCACCTGCCCCGAGTGCAACCCCAGCTCAGCCCCCCCACCAGTGCAGCGCCTGGCTGCCAGCCTCTAGCACGCAGTCCACCTCCAACCCAAGCACAAATCCAGGGGGGTACATGCCCACCATGCCTCCCCCATGGGTGTGCACAGCAGGGGGGCTGCCCCCCTC